GTTAACTTTTGAAATTTTCGTCACTAATTTGATACATATTTAAGTTTCGCCTTAGCAATGTCATTTTTTTAAAATTCCTGTCAGCAAATTCAAATCTCGTTCCTATTTTAATGTTCGTTGCCGATGCACTATTTCCGTTTTTGAACTGTCGATATTTTAAGTTCTATTTATTTTCTGTCAGTAATTTTGCGACGCAGATATATTTTACGTCATTCACTTCCCTGACTCAGACTTCTCTCTCAGGCTGCAAATTCAGTGAAATACGTCACAAATATTCACATTTCTTTTGCTTTAATCACTTGTCTTAACGACTGCGCTGATAAGGTCATAGGCGTCTTTTTTTTACGGTTTTATTTTGGAAATGAATAATCGTAAATATACATTTGATTTAATCGAACTATTTTTAATACAATTTTAATCGAATTAAATTTTAAAAAAAATTAATACCTCAAACGTTATTATAATGGACAGTAATATCATTGAAGTAATAAAAATGTTGGTTTAATTTATTTTATTAGTTCAACATATTTTTACTTTAAACGAAAAAAAGTATGCTTTTTGTGGCATTTCCTTTAATAAGATGTCTGGAATGTTCTGGCAAACAGACGAAATAAAATACTGTTTAAAATAAACAGTGTCTACTTCGTTATGGGTATCAATTAAAAAATAACGTTTAAAATGATTTTAAAATTATCGGCAAGCTCTTTGAGGCCATAATCAATAAGAAGGTCGTCGAGTACCTAGAAAAGAACAGCGATGAGCAATATGGGTTTCGGTCGGCCCGGTCCACTGCCGACGTCCTAACTGCCATCACACAGAGAATCAGTTAGGCTCTTGACAAGCACATCCCAAGGATCATAGCACGAGATATCGCAAAAGCCGTCAACAAGGTGTGGCACAAGGGCTTGCTATATAATCTCCCCCAATATCATTGTATCACTGGAAGTGTCTTCCCAATCATCAAATCCTTCCTAACAGGAAGGTAGTTATCAATTGGAGCTCGAAAGATTCCTCCAGGGGTCACTCCTCGGGCCAACCCTCTTTTTGATCTACATAAACGATCGGCCTGAGAATATAATCAAGCCATTTGTAAACATCTATGCCGGTGACACGACTATATACGGGTGCACCTCAAAAACTCTTGATGGTCAAAGATGGGCAATTGAACTCTCTTAAGATCTTGCATAAACTACCGAATGGATTAAACAGGGGTTCCTCTTGGGGAAGCATCATGCCTCGAATGACTGTTGGGCCTCAAATTCATACCCAATCTCAAGTGTAACTCATACATACGATCCATTGCTAAGGTTTCAGGTAAAATGGTTGGCTCCCTGTACTGCTGCCATAAGTACTAGACCCCTCTTGCTATCCTATAGCTTTACAAGAACCAGATCAGGCGAAAAATGGCGTACTGCTGTCATATTTGGGTGGGAGCTACTCAGACTGCATTTTTCAGTCTTGATAGTTCAAAAACAACTTCGAGACCTTGTGGGTGACGAACTATTCTCTACCCTTCAACAGGCGGAATATAGCAAGCCTCTCTCTGTTCTACCGCTACTTTCACGGAAAGTGCTCAGACGAACTACATTCCCAGGCCCCGCCGAGGCAAACCTTCATTGCAAAAACACGCCGCACCACTTACATAGTAGCAAACAACCGACACTCCCTTCGTATCCCATCGGTGAGAAGTTCCACTCGAACAGCTTCTTCCCGAGAACCACTGCCCTGTGTGATCGACTCTGAACATAATGTTTCTCCGATTACTAAAATCTTAGCCCGTTCAAAGCTGGGGTTATCTTCCAATCCTATGAAAAAATGGCATCGAAACGTAACCCGATACCGCGATACCTTTTAAAGCATTTGCAGGCATATGTTTACATGGATTTTTTTTATTGTTTTTGTGTGAGGAACCCACCCTCAAAGTTTATAAAAGTATTTTAATACATCACACACAGACACACAGACACACACGCACACGCACACACACACACACACGTATATATATATATATATATATATATATATATATATATATATATATATATATATATATATATATATATATAAAGAATAAGAAGACCAGAGAAAAAACTATTCTTAACCGACGCGTTTTGTCCTCTTAGAGATATTATAAAGTCAAATACTTTTCCTCTTTTCTTTTCATTTTCAATCATTTTGTTCCTTTACAAATACATTACAACTGAAAATATAATAATAATATATATATATATATATATATATATATATATATATATGAGATAACTATAAATATTTATATATATCAAGAACATTATTGGGTAAATTGTATGAAAAGTGGCAAAAGGTTTTCCACATTGTCATATATATATATATATATATATATATATATATATAGAGAGAGAGAGAGAGAGAGAGAGAGAGATAGTGGGAAGAGTTTGTGTGTATGTCTGTGTGTTTATATATATATATAAAAAATCTGAAAAATTTTAATAAAATCTTTTTGAAAGGAAAACACAAGTAAAATATATTTAGACATGAGCTACATCTGTGACATATTGTCTCTGTGGAATCTGTTTTAATCTGTTTTTATTGGAGTATATCAAACATTAAAGCAAATTCATTTCTTTTTTTCTAGGAGCTTTTGTGTATACCCCTGAGAAGAGATAGAGATATGTATAGTTATATATAGTTTTGTGTAAAGATTTTCTTTACCAACGGGTTTCATCCCCTGAGAGACATTATCTAGGCAAATGTTCAGATTTTATTTGGGAATATGTATTTATAAACAGAAGTGGATGAAATGTACAGTTAAGCTTTCGGATTTTAAATCTAAGACCATTTTAAAGCCAACTGGGTAAGAATTGGTAAACTATGGAGGAGGCTAAATCATAGTTTAATACCTGATAAACCAAAGTAAGTTGTTTTTGTTGATTTATTATTAAAACAAAACGGTTAAAATTTAAAATAAATAAATAAAAACGTAAATTTTTCAAAATAAAATATAATAGATAATATATTATATAAATAAATAAATAAAAATTCAAAAACATGAACATTTACTCACTCTACTTAATTAGGCAATAAATTACACCACTTAGCACCATCCATAATTATTTTCCTTCACTTTATTTGTTTCGAAATACATGTTACAAAATAAAATGTATTACCATGATAAATTCCCTCAGTGGACGAAACACTTTGGGAAAATAATATTTTCGTTTTGTATATTTCTGGACACACACACACACACACACACACACACACACACACACACACACACACATATATATATATATATATATATATATATATATATATATAAAAGAAAAAGCAATTATGTAGTTGTGACCCACAGAAGACCTAACACCTTAAACAAAAAACATCATGAACAAGAAAAGTAAAAGAAAGACCAAAAAGCAAAAACTCCTTTAATCAGTAAAGTGCTCAACGCCTAGATTGTCTAGACAGAGAAAAAAAACGCTTCACAATGTCAACAGTATACAAAGGAGAGCCCGAGTCGTTACTTGACTGAAGAGCGCGAAATGTGAAACCTGTGTAACGACTCAGGATCTTTTTTGTTGTATATATATATATATATATATATATATATATATATATATATATATATATATGTTGCTAGTAGAATATCGAATAATATCCGGACCAACATGTAGGTAATGTAACAAAGTGGAAAACCTAACCTTGTAACCTGTTTCGACTGTTTATTGCAGGTTTCTTCAGATCAGCATGTGAGACAAATTCTTGCGTGAGAGAAGTGCGCTGGAATTTTGTGAAAGAGGTAATAAATTATTACGTTATTTGGTGCTTCGTCAAGAATTTTTTTTTTTTTGCTCCTGTTGAAGCCGTCAACCTCTGCTGGATTCAATATTTGCCTAAACTAAGTACATCAGACCTCGAGCTACCGCCAGTTACGGCGAACTGATGTCCCTTTGAGAAGACTCCTTGAGAGAATATTGAGCCTCAAACTCACACCCGAACTCAAGTGGAACTTTTATATACGATCCATCGCTAAAGATGCAGGAAAAAATAAACAGCTCCCTGTCTCGCTCCAGTAAGTACGTGACTCCTCTTGCAATCCTGTACCTTTATAAGAGCCAGATCAGGCCAAAAATGGTGTACCGTTGCCATATTTGGGTGGGAGCTGCCCAGTCCTGACTTCCTAGTCTTTCAAAAACATCTCCGAGTCCTTTCCACCCTCTAACCTCTCTTTAACAGGCGGGATGTGGCGAGTTTCTCACTGCTCTTTTGCTACTACCATGGAGAGTGCTCGGATGAAATACATTCCTTGGTTCCGCCAGGTTTAACCTTCATTGATAGGACCCGCCATGCCACTTATATTGTAGCAAATCACGTACGTACCCTCCATATTCCATTGGCGAGAAGTTCCACTCAAACAGCTTCTTCAAATGAAGCACTGCACTGTGGAACAGACTCCCAAGTTATCACCATTCAGTGAGTGGTACTTTACAATACATATTTGTTGCCTCAATTCAACTGTCATCTCAATGTTAAAATCTGCTGATCAATTCACTCAGTTAAGTATTGCATCAAATACATATCAAACCGATTAGATCAAACTGTTTTTGCATAAACCCCCATTGAATTGTTTTCAATTTAATTTAAATTGAATTTAAAATTGAACAAGGGAATAAATCCTATCCAAAATATAAAAGGAGAAAGCCAGAAGATGGAGATCACATCGGCAAGATCATTGAGTAATATTGAAATGCATCATTTTTCTCCACAAATTATAAAATATGATTTAAAATCAATCATCATTTTCTTACAAAAAATGTGTGACACGCAGCAAGGCGCGGGTAATTCGGCTCGTTATTAAATATGTATGCAGCTAATTTAGCAGTTTATGAATGCACCTCCAAAAGTATAGATGACTAGAGCCTAGCAGCTGATCTCTCCTTTGGTTGAGCTCTGACAGATCAATGATGAAAACTGGCTTTTAACATTCAGTACCTCCAAAATCGAGGTACTATGCTTACGCCCACGTCACATTGAAACACCGGTTCTCGTGTGATCACCGAAGTTAAGCAACGTCGTACCTGCTCAGTACCTCGATGGGTAACTGCTTCGGAGTACCAGGTGCAGTAATCTTGGATGTGAGGGTGGTTATATGGATAATGGCTCGGAATTTTTAATTGGAGAGCCGAACTCCAATTCCCGTTGGGTTCGTTATATTCATGCGTAAATACCTTTGGGAAAGGCACGAATCCAACCATTCTGCCCTTTTTAATTATAAGACTTATATCACTAAATCATTATTATAAAAAAAAATCTTATAATCTAAAAATATTTTCTGGCTTTAAATAACCTGCAAAGGGTTGATAAGCCGTAGAAAACAAATCCATCAACCAGTCTATACACCAAGATATTAACGTTTCTTCATCAACAAGCTGACTCTTATTTTTTCTTGTTAAAATGTATGATTGTACTCCTTCTTTAGAACGTCTATTATTTACCATCAAACCCCATGTGAAAGTCATATATATACGAACCATCGGTAAAGAGGCTAGAAAAACGACTGGATTCATTACACTGTTCCAGAAAGTACATGACTCCTTCTGCCATGCTTTATCTTTACAAGAGTCAGAGGAAATATGGGTCATTACTGCCCTATCTAGGCAGGTGTTTATGAAGCTGTTTCGTGACCTTATGGGTAATAAACTATTTCCCCCTATACAGCCCCATTCCGAGAGACGAAACCTCGCAAATCTGTTGTTACTCTATCGCTATTCCCATGGCAAATGTTCAGATTTCCTCATCTAAGATCCACCATGATCCATATGCTGGATCGAATCATCTTAATTCCCTTCGTATTCCATTGGTATATATGAAGTTCTATTCAGACATCATTTTACACCAAGAAACGCTATTTTGTTGAATCGACACCTGAGAGGGTGCTTTACTGATCCTTTTCTCGGGTCAACTGTTATCTATTTTCAACATTATCATTCGGCAAACCTCTATCTCTTGGGCCTTTTATGGGGTGAATAAGGGTAAAAGAAAGAACTCGTAAGAACATTGCTCAACATCCAAATTAGTCATGGTCCTCTTCCTGTGCCTCTCAGCTTTCAATCACTCTTTTGTAATATAAAGGAATATATCTATGTTATGAAGCAGATCGTTTGAAGTTCTTTTATTAATTACTGTGTAACGAGGCGAATGTTTAAACTAGTGTGTTACTAAATTAAAAACTGTACAGTAACTCTACGTGGGAGGCACGGTGGAGTCATGGATAGAGGCACGGATTGAGGAATCGGAGAGCCGAGTCGAATCCATTACATTCATTTACGTGCTAGTACCCTTGGGAAAGGTATTAATCCTCTTCTCCACCCCCACCCCGCTAGCTATGAGTAAATAGTAGGACAGACCTGGTTCTATAGCCTTGGATGGCAACTGGTCTACCTCAGAAAGAAATGGTAACCTACTGCGGGAAAAAAAAACTGCCTCGTCAGTCATGTATCGAAAGATACATGATCGCCTAAGTGTGTATCACGCATAATATAACGAACTGAACTCTACGTGTAAATGTTTATAAGGGAAGGGCCGAACCGGAGTACTATTTTTGAATTCTGCTACCGGCATTAATTAGCCCTTATCCGCCCTTGCTGAGATGAACAATGTATTTTAAGCTAGACAATCTGTAGTCTCTCTATAAAATACTGCGCACAATTTTTCTGACTAAATGTCAACAAGATTAAGAAAACTGATATATTCATTCTTCTTTTAGACGTTAACTGTTATAGTGGAACACACCTATTCTATAGTTAATAGACTCTCCCACCTATAATAAGTAAAAGTAGTAAGAGTAACACGGGGTCGCTCAGGGGTTCGGTCTGAGTTCAGTCTGAAGTCGGACGACCGGCTGACCGGTTGAACTCTCTGCCTTCGGGCGGGGAGGAACCCGAACGAGGCTACGCTGAAGGGCGGAGTCTCTTTCGGGGAGGTAAACCGACCCTGAACACGTTTATACGGGTTCAAAGGGCATATTTTTGGCCGGCCCATGGGCTTGGAGATCCCACGTTAAACCGGCCTTGTGCCACATGATGCCCTCGTGGGGGGTGACTGAATATCGCTCAGGGGTTCGGTCAGTCAGTCGATGCCGGACGACCGTTAGTCGAATACTAAAGTATCAGCGACCACAACTAGATTTCTCTGCGTCATACCTATTATATGAAGTTCCTAAGGTTTTGTACGTCGAACCTATTTTAGGACCGACTTAGTACAAACACAAGCCTCCACTGTGAAATCACTCCACATTAACATATGAAAGCTTGGCGCTTTCTCCCTTTCATGAATTCACCCGGGGGTAATATTAGGTTCTCACACATTTTTCGGTTGGTTGTTGCCCCTAAGTAACTTCCTTAGTATATAAAAATAATCTTGACTTATTCCTGAGTCTTTCCAAATAGTTTCAATATATTGTTACTTATAAGCTCAATAAAAGTGATTACAATGAAACAATGTCGAATAATCTTACTGTATGAGTACAAACTTGGAAAATAAACCAATTTTTCTTCGAATCATTACATTGCTATAAGAAATGGATACTCTTCGACAACAGTAAGAGAGTAGGCCAGTGATTAGATGCAAGTGAATCACCAAACCAATACCCAAAACATCCACTGCACCCTAGAAAGTTAATGGTTACTGTATGGTGGTCTTTCAAAGGGGTTATTCATTATTCCTTATTGCCTCAAGGCAAAACAGTAACAGCAACCTCGTATTGTGGGGAAATTGAGTGTATGCACGGAAAATTGAAGAAGAAACATCCCAGACTTGTGAATAGAGATGGCCCAATTTTGCTGCACGACAACGAACGACAGCACGCTTCTCAATCAACTATCCAAAAAGCTGCATAGCCTGAATTATGAAATTTTGTCTCATCCTCCATAATTGAAGCATTTTGAACTTTTCATACGCAATAAAACATTTTCCAATAAAGGAGAGGTAATCGAAGCGTTTGAACTGTTTATCACATCAAAGGACGGCAATTTTTTAAAAGATGTGATCAAGAATTTAAAGGTACGTTGGAGAATAGTCATTCACCAACATAGTGCGTATTTCGAAAAAAATAAATCAGTTATTTAACATTTTAGAAGCGTTTTATTTATTTCCTATAAAGTGCATCATTTCATGTGTGACAACCTAATAGAAAGAAACTACATAAGATTTTAAAAGCTCCTGAGCTCTTTAATATGATTATAACTTCATGTAAACGTTGAAAAGGTTTAGAATTCTGCTATTAAAAGAATTGTATGAACTGGAGAAAATAAGGCAAAATGTACTGAGATATCAACTTTTGAGAAATAAAAATGTCACCGGACCACGATGGAAAGGCGAGATTTTAGTCATGGTAAATGAAGTTTCGGCTTACAGCCCTATATCAGTAGAATCCCGGTTAGGGCTAGACAGAGTGAGGAGCCGTCTATCGCACGAGTCGCGATCAACTGAAATAAGAAGTCGAAGGGACCTATGTGCCACCTCTCTACGACCAAAGAGAATATTAAGTATGACCAGAGAAACGCATTGAAATAAAAACCAATAAAAAAGAAATTATTGTGAGCCGGATTCATGTCTTCATTTTTTTTTATGTTGATTTCATCTTTCTTTTCTTGCGAGCTTTTGTACACACCAGTTCGAACGAGAGGCAAAACACAACATGCGCATTGATTTGTCTGATCGGTGAAAGAGAAAGACGCCCCGTCCTATGTTCACATTGTTAACTGGGGCAAGAAATGGCTTGTCAATTTTAAAGTCTCCAAAACGAAACTGCTCTGTTTTAATCGTCGAGTCACACATTACGTGTTCTCGGGCTAAGATTTTCCGCATAAAGATTATATTGAATCAATTGCTAGGTCTGATGATAGGAAAGGTGATTCACTGTGTCTTGGGAGACAATTTTTTTCTCGCCAGAATTTATCTTACACATTTATGAGTCGATATTTACTTGACCCCACCGCCCTACTGAGTCAGGTTGTGACACAAGGTCAGTTTTTAACGTGGGGACCCGAATGTTTTCACTCGGGCCACTGGTCCAAGATGGTCTTAGCTGGTCATAGCTTGTCCACGCTGGTCAGAACTGGTCTAAGCTAGTCATAGCTGGTCCAGGCCGGAGCCGGTCCAAGCTAGTCGTAGCCGTGATACTACCAGCGCAGCACGGAATTATAAGTCTACCATTCGTCCATTCATTTAATATTGGTGTCACATCGGCTCTGTTGCTCCTGCTATATATTTAGAGACTCCTGATAATATATAATGTAGAACCTGCAATGTCACTATTTTTTTTTATACAGTACCCTTTATGAGATCACTATATAATTCAAAAGTTAATACTTAGTGTCCTGCTTAGGATTGGGTTTCCAATTTAGGAATGGTAGTGCTAACAGCTACATTTTTGAATTAAGATACTAAGTAGGTATTTACCCGTCTCCTCACGGCAACGTGATGTGACACAAGGTCGGATTTAATGTCAGGTACTCGAGCGCGTACACCCGAGAGATAGTAAATATCGTAAATATTTCATGAAGCACCTCAAATTTGCTTCTAATTTGCTTTACTTTAAGCATTTATACTAAGAGATTTTGGAACTGTGTCTCTGTTCATGAGCAAATAGTAGAGAAACATCACAGCCGAAGAAGAGTCAGCTAATGCGACTTGGGAGCATCCTCAATCTGAAAACGTACTGAGTTACCTGGTCTGAATGCATTTCTGACTGGGATCGGCCTGCAAGTTTATATGCTGCTCTTATCAAAATCGTGTCACCCTATCGCACGCATTTGTTTGTCATGTATTTGTCGGGTATCCCATTGTCAGACCGGGTGTGATAATGGGTATATCGGGAGTCGGAAATTTGTACAAAAACGTCACTTTGTTGACGAGATGCTCTTTCACCCGGCAACTACATAAAAAAATACTACTACTACTATTACTAGTACTAATAATTTTTGAAAACATTTGTCTCCTTTATAGATGTTACAGTTCCAGCCGACGAGGGAACATCTTTGCAAATGTTTGAGGACTCTAAGCAAATAGGAGCACAAGATAGAAATCCATGGGGTATCACAACAGAACAACATTAACGGTTGTTAT